AGTAAGCTCACGATTTCGACATGACATGCATCAGTTGCTGCTATCAAAGCTATGTCGCCGTTGATATCTGCCCTTTCTGTGTCGACGCCGGCCGCCAGCAGCAAGCTCACGCATTCGGCATTGCCGCCGGCAGATGCACGTAGTAAAACTGTGCGGCCAAGGATGTTTGCGGCATCCATGTTGGCACCATTTTTCAAAAGCAAGCTCACGACTTCCTCATGACCGGCTTCACATGCCAACATCAAAGCTGTGCAGCCGTCCAGGTCCGTCAATTCCTTGTTGGCACCAGCATCCAGCAGCATACTCACGACTTCGACATGACCTCCAGCAGAAGCCATCATCAAAGCTGTGCAGTAGTCTTCCCCATACAAGTCTGGATCTTGCGGAAGTTGCAGCCTAGACTTGACCTCGGCCGTGGAGCCCCGTGAAGCAGCGCTGACCAGGTCTTGCACCTGCTCTTCCGAAACTTCGGCGAAGGGCAGCAAAACGAGATCCAGCTCCATTGGAGATTCCAGCTTAGTTTCATCACCTAAAGTCTCGCCATGAAGAAGGAGCCTCTGCCTAAATCCCGAAGGAAGCCCCCTCACCCGATTCAGGTGTCGCTTCAATCCGCTCACATCCAGCACCTCCTCAGCCTCCTCGACAGGTATGAGTATGTTTTCGCCGGAGATCATTCTGATCTGCAACATGTCGCGGGCACTTCTGGGGACGAACTGGGAATCTGAAGCTGATCAACAACCTTGAGCCAGCGGCTTGACCCGTCGCCAAGCCGGCAAAACGTGTGGTCACAACCATCACCTAAATCAAAAAGACAAGTATGGTCATCCCCTATAAATAATTACAATCAGCTAAGTTTGGGGAAGGAACTGTACTTGGAGGTCGGAGAATATTTGGAGCTCCATCATCCGAGTGTTGGTGTCTTTGGCTTTAGGGTTAGATCTTCGGCTTACGGTGATCTGCACTATGCTTCGTTCTAGGTGCTTCGTACAGTTTTCGTCTGCAACTATCACGGCATCGCACAGGCGAGAGGGGGACCCGAGCGGGACCGATGGGTTTAGGGTAGTCTGCATTATGCTCCGATATACTGATTCCTGCAGGCTGCTGACCTAAGTATCACGGCGTGCTAACTGCAAGAGCGGGACCCCATATGGAACCATGGGCTCCCATGCGACCTTTGTCCAAAAGACCATACACAGGTGCAAGCGAAAACCGTGCAGTACTGCTACCTGATAATTGTATCACGACTACTCCTCTTATGAGTTCTAGTGCTGCGATTATCATCATTCCTTTTTCTGTGCAACTGTTGTTTGTTGCTATCATGTTGCTGTTATTTCAACAGGACCCAAACAAAGCTGCACGCGATGCGTCACGAGAATGCTACAAGTACATTTGCTGCTGCAAACCGCTGTGCCTGCAGCTCTTTGACGGCCATGTGCTCTGAGAAGCCATGGCAAACAACAACTTCCTTCTCAGCCAATATGCAAACCGCTATTACGTGATTATCGCCGCAAATAACACACAAATTATGTACGTGTTGTGCAGGGGTGCAGGAATCCGAGGGCCTCTGGCGGCCGCTGCTTGAGTTCAGGGGCTGGAGTTATGCCGGGCGTCGGCTGCGCACTTGGACTCTCCGGTTCTCGGCTCTCGCTACGCCGCTGCGCGTCACCAGGGGCCGAAGATCACGAGGCTTAGTATTTGGCGTTCAGGGAACTCCATAACGACCTGAGTCTATGATTCTCAACTAGGTACTTTCACAGAGTGTTGCATCTAATCTAATACGCCTTCGGAGAAGCCTGTGGGAGCCGGATGCTTCAAAGGGAAGGCCGGAATTCAGAGGGCCTACAGTGCCCGTACTTTAGAGCGTCTCTTGGCAGTCGCCTGGGCGGGTCAAGTTACCCTAAACCCTAAGCCATCAGGGTAACCAAAGGCCTACAGAGCCACACCCACCGGGATCTTCGGTGGATCAGAGTGAACTACACCAGTGGCACCCTGAACCTTCACCCCAAACTTGCATCTGAACCCCAAGCCTCAAGCGCGTTTTGTGCATCTGGTCTCCGTGGATGATAAGGCGGACAAAGAGCCCGAGCCCTGAAGCCCTTAATTAACTCTATGTAACCCTCGTTTTTTTCATCCGGGCTTAGCGCTTAGGGTACACCCTAAAGCGTAAATGTATGATACCCGTTTTTGCACAGGCATGATTGGAGCTCGCCCGTCCAGGTTCCCCGCAAACCCGAAACCACACAGTTCCGAAGCTCCGACCAGCCGTCCTTGCCTCTCGTTCTCTGTTTATGGCAGCGTACAATAAAGGGCCGAAGATCCAAATACACCACAACTAAATATTGTTTAACCCCAACTATAATATCGTTGAAAGTATATAGTATACAGTATATGGGTAGTTCTATAAATTAGGGTCCCTTCTTAGGTCCCCAAAATAGCATGGCACCCTTATAAACAGGACCCTGACAGGGACCCTAATGTAGAGAACCATGTAATCCGAGAGGATGTACAATAACAGAAGGGGGGCCTTAAAAAAATATGAATAGGGTTTTGTGTCATACTATACTAGAACTATAATAAGGAACCCAAAAAGTAGTCTTGGTAAATATTTGGCCGCTATATGACGGATGCCGGGCTTTGGATCTCCAAGAGCGATGGAGGAAGTCACCTAGCCCTCCTACACCGGCTTTCGGGTTTAGGCGACCCCTCCACTCCCCAAGCAAGGGTCCCAATGTACCTCTAACAGCGCAGTGTGGGGTGTCCGTGTTAGGAATCTTCATTCTGATTTAGGGAAGTATCCCGCCCCCATAACTGTACATAGGACATATAGGATCCTTTGGGGACTTCAGCACTGTGGACAGGCCTCACGGCCTTCATGCATTTCAGGCGCAGAGGGTTTGTTTTTCACCCTTCAGCCCCAGAAATCCTGCGCTTTAGGTTTCGGTGCTCCTCAAGACCCTGGATCTCCCCTGGGTGCCAGGCACTTGACGGTGGATCCCCCTGAGCTGATCTGCGGCCTGCTGCGCCAAGGCATGGGCAGCCTGCGCTATGGACCAATGCTATAGCAATACCCGTGCACGCTGTTTAGGGATCGTGAGCTCCAGGACTTAGCTAGAGTCTAGGGTAGGGTTCAGGATGCAGGATTTGGATTTGAGGTTTTCGGTGTTGGAGTCTTGCCTGCAGCCATGTATGTGCTGGGCAGGCAGAACACCTGTTGACAAGCAGAGTCCCGACATAACGGGAGTAGCAGCACTCCCGAGGCTACTACAGTACAAATTAGCCGGTAGAGGGTCGACGTTTCAAGCAGCTCGGTCGGTCAATTAAGCTGCGAGATAACCTGCCATGCTGGCTTAAAAAAATTCCGGCGATCGGTTCCGACAGTACGCCGATATCACCTTTTGCTGCCTGGGTGTTTCGAAACGGCCAGGCCCATTCCGTCACCAGACAGATTCCGACGAAAACATGCGCAAAGTTAGCCGAAATGCGGACATGCGACTCCTGGTTCGGGGTGCCTGGCTTTCTGGGCCAAAGGGGTCTCACGATCGACAGTCACCTGCTCCCAACAGGCACTCAAGCCGTCGGTTTGAGTTTTCTCAGCACCAAGAAATTGAAATCGAAGCTTGCTGTCCCTGTGCTGGCTTTTCCTTCAACAGTTTCTCATAACTTAAGACTGGATCCATTGCCATTTCCCTGCGAGGCATTCGTGAGGATGTGCGCATGGTAGACCTTTTATGCCAGCAACAAGCGGGCAACTCTAAATCCCTTGCTCTTGGTTAGGTTTCCGGCGTTCACAACTCCGCACCCGCACGCAACTAAGTCGTATGTAGTGTAATATAGCCGCCCCGATAATTCTTAAGACTAGCCCCTTTAAGGTTCCTTGTTGCTGTTATTCTAACACAATATATCCCAAAATTCGATCCTCACATGTCATGGCCCAACTTTCGCACAGTTCCGCCCTGCCCTGGCCTGGGCCGCATGCACGTGAGCTTGGGCAGTCTGGGCCTGGGTCTCTGAGAGTCTGCGATAGGAGTGATATAGGAGCCGTAATAGTTAGAATAGGCTTTGGGTGCCCATTATACCATAAATATAAAAGGAGCGCCCAAAAATAGTATTGCTCATTTATAGGCCCCTACATTGGTCTTGTCAATTCATCGAGATATCTCGGTCCTAGCCCTTCGAGGAAGCACTAACATTGCATCATTGTTTGCTCGGTACTTCTGCTGCCGTTGCCGCTGTGGTGGTTGATGTCATGTGCGTCGTTTTGTTTGCAGTGGTGTCGGCATGGGTCCTAGCTGTGGTCGTTGTCATAATCGTCCTTGAATTATGCCTGCCCTGTTTTGTTCATGCTCCTGCTGCTGCTGCTGCTGCTGCTGCTGCTGCTGCTGCTGCTGCTGCGGTTGTTCCTGGTGTTGCTGAAGGAAACATTGCTATGGTTTCCATGCTGGTCACGGCAACATCAATACGTAATGTTGCTGTTGCCGGTGTCGTTGTTGTTCCTGCTGTTGCTGCTCTTGGTGGTGTTCTTCTAGTTGCTGGCAGCATATTAGAAGTCACGAGTTTAGTCTATCGGTGCAACTTGTTCTTATCAGCAAGTTGACGCCCGAGTTCTTCAGAGCTCAGTGTGGTAAATAGTGTCATTAAATGATTTGAGCGCGGGCTGAAACCGATCTGGCAACAAGACTCCAAGTCTTGTCGTAGTAAATGTGCGCCAGGCTCCCAAACTAATCAAATGTACACAAAGTCACACAAAACACAGCCCACAGACACCTCCTGCGTTGTGAGAATAAGAGAACGAGGAGACACGAAGCCAGCTCCTCCCTAAACCACCCACGCTGCAAAAGCGTCGTTTTGGCTCAATGCGAAGCTTGACGGTGCTCTGCTCGGCGGAAACAAACCATCAAGCATCCTGCGACGGAGATCAAGCCGGCCCTAAAAGTCCACCCTAAACCCCATAAGCCCAACTGGCCCAAACCCTACCAAAGTGCCCCAAACCTGGTGAAACTCTAGGGCAGCCATCTCGCAGCCATAATGTCCATGTTGTTGACCTGGAACCGTGTTGCACAGCGCGAGTCCCTTTACTTTCAGCTGCGGTGACAGTTTCTCTGCACCTGATTAGAGTAAGATGACTGAGAGCTTAGATGGCACCCGCATGAAGCCACTACACAAAAAATGATGTTCCTGGTCTTGCTTCCCCAGTTGCGGCATCCTAAGATTAAGAAATCTATAGGCCAACACATGCAGCAGCTATCAGCCCAAGTTGCTGTGAAGCATCCCAGAATCCTGGGCGGCATCTTCAGGGCGAACATGATGTGGCTACCCATAGGCCCCATAGTAGTTCCTTTTGGGGGCTCCTATTTAGAATCCTATAAGGTAATCCCAAAAAGGAACTACTATGGGGCCTATGGCTAGTGGTAGGTTCCAGACAAAACGAGAGACAAACCGATACGAACACAGTAGTTGTTACGTCTCTACGTGCGCATGTATGCATGCATACACGCGCACAGCATGTACATATAAATCACGCAGCTGCCTGTGCTTTTCCCGAAGCCGGGAGAAACTTGGGGCTGCTATTTGTTGCCTGCCACCTAGCTAGGACACAGCCTTTGCATTGCAGGGTGTAGGGTTTGGGGTCCCAAAGAAGGCTCCCTGTGCTGAGAAGATACCGGCATGTCGGCTTTCCAAGATTCCACACCACACGCCGCCGGGTGTTGATTGCGATCGGAATTCTCAAAAGCCCACAGTTGACAAAAGCTCACTCAAAAAGTAAGCGACGGATCATGAATCTGCATGTCAAGCAGAAACCTGATGAAGAAACCTCTGGTCAGTTCTCGGGTTCTGAAGGGTAGCTCTCACTGCGTGAATATTTCTGACCGCGCGAGACAAAACGGAGGATTTGAACAGGGCAGGGGAACCTTGAGACAGGCTGATTGTAAATGCTGAATCGTAGCGGTACTTCTGGGTCCGGCACTCATTCCTCGAGATCACTGGCCCTACAATCCTATCACCTTGGCCTTTGTCATCTGGCTCGTCATGCTAACGTGATGGCCAGCCCTAGCGGGCCCTAGCGCTGGCCGTTTGTTGGGAGATTGAACTCCTCTTCGATATGTTCCAACATTGCAACTTGCTAGCCGAAGCGACTGCTCCGGCAACTCCTCGTCCACCTTCCAGGGCTCAGTGCATGTGCCAGAAGGGATTTTTACATGGGCCCGATGCGGGACCTTGCACAGAGGCCGGCCGATACCAGGCGGAGGCTTGTGGTAAGAGGCTGATACTTATGGTAGATTCGAAGGCGACCCCGGTCAGCATACCATAACCTTCAGCATCGAGACACGATCGAGACAGCCAGGAAAAGCGTCGGAGCTTTGAACGCTGAACCGGATTACAGATTGCAGTACTTTCATGATTCATGACGTTGATGCCAAATGCAGCGATGTGATAGAGTGACTGAGTTCCAAGGATGCCTACTTTCTACTGTCGTGAAAAAGTGCAGTACCAAAAGTAGCACAAACACTCGTCGTGGTCGCGGCGGTGGTGGCAGGGGTACCGGTGGTAACGGCGGGGGTAGTTAAATCGCCGTTTTAAGGTCGGCTTCCAAGTCTGCACGCTTGGAACTCGACGCACGTAGAGAAAAACCCGGTGTTGACACCGGCAGCCGTCTCTGTCCCTGTCTCTCTCTTCCATGACAATGCAAATCACTATATGACTTCTGGCAACTCTCTGAACAACCACAATATAGTTCGCCTTCGCCCTCAAAGAAGGAATGCTCGGCCCTGCTACGCTGTGCTCGGGAAAGTGCATTAACTGCCAGCCTTGCCCTCCAGGAGGTATCCAATTTCCTTGGTTTCGAACTCATCCGGAAGGGCTCTTGCAATCCGTCGCAGTAGTTGAGAAGCACACGCTTGCACTCTGAGGTTTCTTACGCTTTCGCAGAAATTACTCGCCCAAAAGACATACTCTGGCTTGTGGCTGCCCAAGCAATCCCGAAACATAATATCAGAGCAGAAAGGAGTCCTGAACTCAAATTTATATGAGACGTTTTCACAAGTGGTCGCTTCAGTACTCCCGCCGCCGTGCGAGACCTAGTGCTAAGGATGACTAACCCCCGCTGCTACCGACTGAATCAGGCCTTGCATCGACCTCAGCCTCGCGGGCACGATGTTGGTACGCAGTCATCGCCGTGCGAGTCGGGTAGTTCCACGACCGTACATCGAAATCCTTGGCTTGTCCAGATGACACGAGCAGTGCTGACAAGGATAGACATGGGAAGGCATGCCATCTGTGTTGGGGTTTCTGGGCATGGCCAAAACATCTGCCAGTACCAGAGAAGGAGGCCAGGCATGACCGTAGTCAAGCCATGAACTGAATGAAGGATGGCGGTGCCGATGGTCATGACGATGGTGATGCAGTCTTCTTGAACTGACTGCAGCTCCCTTCGCCGTATAAACTGTCAAGTCTGGGCAGCCACATGCTCCTTCGGAGTGCTATGGGATCACCGGCACGTGCCTGGTGCGATGAATAGATTCGTTCGCCGGCTTTCTACGGCATTTGCATTATCCCTCCTCACTGCCTGGACCTCACGGACCCTGACCTAACTCTTGCCATAATCTGGGCACCGGCCCTACCGTTCACGTTCGATGCAGGTCTCAAGAACAATATTCCAAAGTCCCTTTTCCACCTTAAGCCCATGTTGAAGTGGAAGCAAACTTCCTACAGTCCCTGCGCCTTACGAGGCTGAACGCTTACCCAGGCTCAATCTCCAGCACTTCGGGAAGATACTTTGTGTAGACCTGATCTGCGGCCATTTGTTTTGACAAAAACTTTAGCGTTTCATGGGCTACTGTGTTTGGAGTGTTCGGGGGCTCGGGGTTGTAATCCCAACCCCCTATCCCCTGAAGCCTCAACCCTAGGTCTTAGGAGGCACATGACGCGTGAGACTCAAGTCGGGCACTCGAACTAGATCACGGCACCGTTGCAGTTTATGGGCCCCTTCAGAAACTATTTTGCTTTGGGGTTAAGGGGTCTAACCACTCGACGTGCTCTTCTCTCAAAAGCAGCCGCTTGGCTTCATTTGCGAGGGCCACCTGGCCCGTCTGCGCCAAGTCTGCCCAGGGCTGCCGGGGTTCATGCATTTTCTGTTGGCGGCTTCCAAGAGCTGCAGGAAATCGCATGTTTCAGAAGACCGAGTTTAGATCATTTGAGGGTAGCTTGGCTTCAACAACATGGCCACAAAGGACGGTTGACCCCCCACGAAACTCAACGGGTTGAGGGTCGAAAGCACCAAGCACCGAAGACTGGAACCCGCAACCCCCAAACCCCAACACCCTCAAATCTGGAGCCCTGCATCCGGATTCCTGAGCCCGAAGACTGACGTCCGTCCTTCATACTACATACACAAAACCGTAACAACCCATCAATTATAAACTTCTGCAAGAAGAACTCTAGTAGACCTTCACAAGCCCGTTGTAGTGATGCTGATAGTAGCCATATGGTCCAAATTTTATGGTGATTACACATAGTTACCCCTTGCCGCCTTACAGAACCTTGTCGTAACGGAAGGAAAGGTATCAAAGCGAGCGGGAAGCCGTTGAGCTTCTTGTCAGCAGCACGGGCTTGTTGTTGAAGCCTTTGACGCGCTTTCGTTTTTGCTCAGGGTTTAGGATTTTATGTTTCTTGTCGGGTTGATTGAACCCTAAGCCCCGAACGGTGGAGGACTTGCTGCTCGGTGCGGCGTCAACTTTTCAGGGTCACATCGGGGCTAGGCCTTGCTCTACGGCATGGGGGTGCCTTCGTTCCTGGTGGAGGACGTACCAGCCCAGGGGTTAGGGACTTCGGGGGTTACTCCTTTATTTTGGCCTGAACCTTAGGGGTGGAGGGTGCTTTTGACACTGGTGAAATGTCAAGTTTACTTGGCTCAGTGGGAGGCTCTTGTATAAGACTGTCTCGTCCAGTAGCCGCTCGGCCAGACTGAGCCCATCTGCGTGAAAGGCGCAGTGCCTACCGTGGACCGTGAACTTCCCGAGGCCATCCAGTGTAGTTGTACTTGTGGTTCTCATCATTTGTTGTTGTGGTTAGCAGGATTTGGTGCGGAAGCTAGATAATTAATCCAAACATGCTACAAGTCATCGTCTAGGCTATGACCGACCGGAAGGTGGCTCCATGCAGCGAGGGGGCGCTTGAAAGACTCTGGCACCTGGTGCTTGTCCAGGTCTTCAACTCTACCAACCACCTGCCGGGCTCAATGGGCTCGATCCCGAGGTTAGCATCGCGGTGTTTCGAAAGCATGTCGCCAAGCGTCGAAGATCTGCTCAACTCCACAGACTCGACTTGTAGCCCGAGCTTACAACAAAGCAACGAAAGGCTAATATGGGTTTACACTCTCACAAATCGGACAAGCCAGGCGAGGATCCATGTTCGAAAGTCGGCGTGAAAACATTGGAATCTAGGATGCCTAATATGGGTTTAGGGTTTAGGGCTTAGGGCTAAAACTGCTTCGACAGTTCTGCAGCTGGGTCATGGCAGGACATCTCCCCTCGTCTGTGCCTTCAGTGAGATGCCCTCCTTAGTGGACACTCCCTCCTGGCGCAGGAACAGCATGGCAGGTAAGGAGGCAGGCAGGCAGGCAGGCAGGCAGGCAGGCAGGCAGGCACGCACACACACACACACACACACACACACACGCACGTGCACGTGTATAGGCTTTGCAAATTGTAGATCCTTCCACGTGTCTGAGACAAAATCTTGAGAGGAGCCCGAGGCTCTTTGCTCCAAGGCAGAGGATGCTTTGGCCAGAATGCAACCCTATGCCCCTCAGACCACCAAAAAGGGGCAAAGGCGGAGGCGTAGGGTTTTTTTCAGGCGTGCTGAATGTTTCCGTCAAAGGGTGCTGGAAGCCGTAGCCCCTACTACACCCCGCAAGGAGAAACCCCCTTTTTCAGCACGGACTGAGGTGCCGGCCAGCGCCCATGCAACCCTTCTCCCCCCCAAACCCTTATTCTCCGCCTTTCTCCCGCCCGTTGCGTCCTCGACGAAGCGCTGGAGCAGGCGCAGCGCCGGAGTCCTAAGAGGACGGAGGCACAGCTCCGTAGCGACACTTAGGGTTCATGCAAAGTCTTTAAGACTAAGATGGTTTTGTAGCTTCATCGTAGTCAGCAGTAGTGAAGCATTGGTCGTCGCTGAAGTCGGAGGAATGCTGCGTTGTAGCCAACTGAGGTCAGAGCGGAAGCCCCTCTGCCAGGAGTGAGGCTGTCTGCAGACCAGTTCCAAACGGAAGGTGGGGCTTTTTGTAAAGGGCCTATGCTCTCACACTCCGACTCGCCAGATGAGGTTCAAAGCGTTTAAAGGCTCAGGAGGGAAAGTTCGAGCTGAAGAGTCCAGCGTGTTTTTAAGTCGACAGGTTTGGGATTCGGGGTCTAGTGGCTTAGCAGGAGTCTGGGGTTCGGGCTCAAGAGCTTTAGCCTTCAAATGATGGCTGTAGGACCTACGGGTATCAAGGGGGGACGGCCAGGAGAATGAAGAATGCCATGGATTGGAGATGCGGGAGCTTGACCGGGCACGCCAAAGAACTAAGAATCCGGAAACCGTCCAACATCCAGCGTAGGATTTGGGTCCGTTCCAGGGCATGAAAAGGGACTGCTCCGCCTGTGGCATTTCAACCTCGGGAGTACTTGCAGCTTCCTTCCATCCACATGGAAGATGCACAATCCAAACATCTATCTCAACCTGAACTCTCCAGGGGGGGCGGGGAAGGGAGGCTGTTACAATCTGAGAGTAAAGCTGGGGGCTTAAGTTAAGACTTCGGAACCATGGAGGCATTCGGCTGGGCATGGCCTGTTGAGAAATGACGAAGTAGTTGAGAATACCTGGCATCCGGCACACTCTTCGACTGGGTCGCAGGCTGAGGGCCCCGTTACAACAACTCACGAAAGGGTACCTCCTGCAATAAGACAATGGGAAAAGCGAAACTATCCTAATTTCAGCCACTCGATGTGCCGTAGTCTATACTCTATACTGTACCCTGCTTAAAAAAAGACAACAGCACGGTCCACATATTGGCCTAGCCGTAAGCCCGACACCGATCCGACTGCAAAGATCTGAGGTTAAGGGCTCTACCCTGTGAAGCCCTCAGAAAAGCCTTCGGCCCAAAGCGTAACTTGTGATCTTCTTGCTGATAAGACAAAAACCCACAGGGTCGTTGCTTCACCCTCCTCCAGGAAAGGAACTCCGGAGCGAACGTACCGGCACGCAGCTTTATTGAGGTATATCACATAGAGTTCATGTCAACAAGAATTGATTCGACATCCAACCTTGATAAATATTTCAATACCAAAATCGGAAACGGTTCGATCTCAGAAAATAAAACATACATGAGATGAGCTAATTCAATAATCCTTATTTGTTCTTTTTCAAAGATTACATGCCTTGATGATCTGTTCCTATGTCTTATAAGATATCATCTCTTCTTAAGCAGCTTTTGTAACATATTGGAGTATTCATATTCTGTGATAGTTCTGATCATAATCATTATACATTCTAATTCTTCAACATAAGGACAATTATGGCAAATTCCCAATAGGAATCTGAGATAGGATCATACCGAAGATGACTACTTTCGAATGAAACGAGAGCAAGCCAAACCCAGTATCTGAAATTCGATATTGGGAATTCTTTCATTCTTTAATCGTAGTTGATGGGATTTTGGAACTAGCGGTCCTTTTATGATCCTGCTTTGGGCAGTCGGCATCTGCGGGAAACATGTTTGTTCCGCTGCTTCCGCTGGATCTTCGGCGTCGATTCATGAATTTCTGTGGCGCCAGGACTCTCACGACTTGGCACAAGAACCTCCCTCTACCTAGAGAGTCACCTGCGCGTGGGCAGCTGTAATGTCAGTGTAGGTTGGCGGGGGTTCGGTAGCTTCGCCAGGATATGACCATCCTGATCTATGAGCTTCAGCTTGCCATTGAAGCTTAAAGTCGTTGCTTGTATTTCTCGTGGGGCTGTAGCAATCCATTTCCTCCAGTTGTCGCATCCTGACGGAACTTCCACTTTGGCCACTGGCTCACCGGAAAGTGTGGTACATGCAATGTGGCCATCAGCTTCTATGCAGCTCAAGATGATGTCAGACTCCTTACTTACCCAATAGGCCAGGCAAAAGAAAAAGTTAAACTTTCAGATTACTACTAAGTTATAAGAACCAAAGGTTTTAAAGGTTGGGTATTGCGGAAAAATAAACCCTGTTTTACACAGGCTTGATTGGAGCTCGCCCGGCCGATGTCCCTCGTAGCACATCGCACTCGTGGGGAAAATAAACCCTAAACCCTAAACCTGGGTATTGGGGAACTAAGACTCAGAGGCATCCAATGGCAACCTCCATACTTCCACTTTGGCAAAAGGACCCGCAGGAGACCGTCCAGCATCACAGGAATGCCAAAGCTTCTCATATGTGTCAGACCTGGGATCCCCGGTACCCCAGGCATAGAACGGGGCTCCTGCTTAAACTTATGGGGCTTCGGGTTTAGGATTTCTGTGTCGTAAGGAGCCTAAGGCAGAAAAAGAGCATTCCAAAAACATCTAGGGACTTGTAGCTGGCAACTTCATCCCGACGCCAGCGCACACGAGCACAAGCCTCAGCACCTCCGCGGAAGGAGTCGTCCACGATATCGAAGAGCCTTAGCTGGCTTTACAAGTCAAATGCTGGAACCTCCCTATACTACAGATAATGAAAGAACTCAGAAAGCTAACGTCCTAAGAGCAGCCAAGCCCAATATGCCCCCAACATACCAGGTTAGAGCCAGCCAAGGAACATCTCCTCAGCCAGGGAAGACGCCTCTTCCGCACTGACACAAACAGCACGGCAGGCGCGAACAGCCATGTCATATACTGGTGCGATGGCCCTCGAGACCACGAGAAATGTCCACTCTGAATCCTCTCGCGGGCGCTTCGTGGACCACCTTGAAACGCTAGCAACTCCTTCCGCTGGCACTTGTTCATGGCATTCCGGGTCACACTCTTTTGGCTTTTCCTCTTCTTCTGCCTCGTCCCGGGCCACGTCGTCATCATCTTTTGGGATGCTACATACCACTTCAGGCTTCGAGGCCTTCTCGCCCAATGTGAACTTCAGCACCTGTGCAAAGGCCGGCGGATCGGGGTCACCCGCATCCAAGGCCCACTGGACCCCTCCCCAATCGTCGTCCTCACAAGCCTCCCGCAACGACTCATGTTTCCACACATCTTCACGTTTGAAATCTTCTGGACCCATGGCGGACTGCACCAGCTTAAATAGCAGATCTGCGGCGGCCTCTCGTGCCGGCTCGAAGGAGGAGAAGGCCTTTGAATCAAAACGCACTTGTTTCGTATAGCTGGGCGGAGCCACCCATGCCTGTGCAATAAACACAGCAGGAGCTTGCCGGGTCGACATGATGGCTGAAGGCTGCAACAATCCGCTCCCTATCAATAAATACTCCCACCCCCCAATAATCAGTACCCCCCAATATGGTACCGGGAGGAATATCTATCATTAGGGGGTCGGGACCCTTGTAAGAAGAAAGGCTGCAATGATAGCTACATTGATCGGAACTACAACAATAGCAGCTGTAATAGGAGTATCTACACCTGCGGCAGCACTACGGCTGCTGCACGTAAAGTTGATTTGCAGGTCAACGTAAGGGTTGTAGCACCCTGCGACCCGGATTACCTCCCCAATGCAATGGTCCTGCTAAGCCGCGCTTTCTGAAGCTTCAATACACCCTGCTCGCTAAGCAGCAGCTTCGGCTGGGTACTTTGACGGGCCTCGACCCTGAAGCAAAGCTACGCCTGGCAGCGATGATCACGATGCTGGACACTGAGACTATGTCAATGAAAAGAGCAATGACGATGACGACTGCAATTGCAACGATTAGTGTTATCAACAGCGATGCCGATGGTGGCGAGGCGGATGCTAATGGTGCTCATGTGACTGCTGCTTCTGCTGCCGCGCCTCACGGGCGCAGCTGCCACTACAGTTGTGATCAGCATCATCCTCACATCAGCATCACCAGCACAATCATGATGATGATGATGACGATGATGATGATAATTCATCATCATCATAACCACCATCTTCTCCACTTCATGATCTTCACCATCACACCATCACTACCACCACTGCCACCATAATCAACGACATCATCATCATCGTTTTGAATTTGGTGAAACTGTTGGCCACCATCAGAATGAAGCCGCTTCTTCTAGACCACACTTCTTGCAGAAAACAGCCCCGATCAATCAAACCAACCTCAAGTAATCTACCAGCTGCAACAACAACAACAACAACAACTACTACTACCACCACTACCAC